CCACACCAGCCCGTCCAGCAGCTTTGCCCTGGCGGGTTGCCTTGATCAGAGAAGTCGGGGAGCATAAAGTGGAAAAGAGGATTGCGTTGCCGTTATCTTGGGAAAAAGGAGGGGGAGGCAGGAGGAGTAAACAGGGGACGAGAAGGACGCGAAAGAAGAGAGGATGTAAGGAAAATGTGGAGAAAGAGGAGGAGGAGGAGGAGGAGCAGCAGGAGGACGAGGAGGGGGAGGAGGGGGAGGACGAGGACGAGGAGGGGGAGGAGGGGGAGGAAGGGGATGATGATGATGATGATGATGATGATGATGATGATGATGATGATGATGATGGAGGCCGATAAGGGGGTGGACGACAATGGGAGGACGATGATGGAAGGACGAGGGGGGAGAGGGAGGACGAGGAAGAAGAGCAGGACGAGGTGGAGGAGGAGAATGACGATGACGACGAGGACGAGGACGAGGACGAGGAAGAGGAGGAGGAGGAGGAGGACGACGACGACGAGGAGGACGAGGAGGAGGAGGAGGAGAGCGCCATCGACAGGGAAGGTGGGGGCCACGAGGTCCGCCGGCTCGACGACGTCCGCGTCGCCCGCGCCCGCCCCCTCACTCTTATCCGCAATTGCGGGGTGCTATGTATATTTATATGTGTGTGCATGTACATCGTGGTATAGATTTCGGGAGGGGAACGTGGTTGCCTTTTTCTTCCACCGCTTGGCGCCCTCCCCTTCGTCATACTGGCCCTTCATCGTCGTTATCTCTCTCTCCCGCCCCACACGACCATACCGTGTCTTCTTCGTTGTTAGTTTGTCGTCCTTCTTCTCGTGCTCATCTTCCTCTTCCGCTTTCCGCCCGGACTCTCGGGCATTCGAGCACGATTTCTGAGTGGTTCCAGTGGGACAGGAGCAGATCCCATCGGTCGGATCGGAGCAGACATCAGATCCAGAGGAATCCGAACGGATACGAAGCGGACATCAACATGATCCCAGTAGGATTCGAACATACATCAAATGCAAACGTTTTTTATTGGATGTGGATCGGACGTTATTTGGCTTCACGAGGTATGTCGCAGACCGTTGATCGAGAAGAGGCTTTCTGGATCTCCTCAGGTTCGCACAGTGAAATTCTCAGGACTGGGCCATATGCTAGATCCAACTCTTACCTTTATATACCAAATCATAACTGAAGATATCCCGATCGTTTTGGAATTGAGCTGCAAATGGGTTTCAAGAGGACCGGGGGGCACTGCCGATATCCAGTTGTTTCTGATTGTGCTCGACCATAGCTGCACCCTTCTCCATCCGCAGCAATCTGGCTCAGGCCAGAGAGGCTCGAGCACGCACCCTTGGGCGGATCCCGCACGCGGCCGCTCGCTCGCCCGCTGGGCCCGCCGCTGCGCTCCCCGTGGCGCGCCATGCCCTGCCGCCGGCCGCGGCCGCCGCGGCGCGGCCGCGGCCGCGGCCTTCGCAGCCCCGGCGGCGGCCGCGGGGTGCGGGCACGCGGCCCCGCTGCAGGCCCTCGCCGGGGCGGCCGCGGGGCCCGCCCACGGCGCGCGGGGCGCGCCAGCGCGCTGCGGCCGCCGGCCCCCGCCGCGGGGCGCGGGCTCCGGCCGAGCACCAAAGCGGCGTGAAGTAGATATCGGGGGCGGAAAAGAAGAGGGTGATGACCAGGGGGGGGGGGATATCATGGCGGGGGCAATGATAGTTCCCCAGATTTCATGGCGCCTCCCCTTATGTTTTTGCGTCCCTGGCCCTCCCGCTGGGCCGCGCACGTGCCGCCGGTCATGATTTGCACCCCCCCCTCTTGGACACACCCGTTTTGGCCGCTCCCGAATCGAACATGGGACGTATTCAGTCAGGGTTGGCGTGTTCAGTACAGGATCAGGAACGGCCCAGACAAAGGTCGCATGCAGGGACCACTATTCCGCCCGAGGGACGAGTCGCCGGAGGAAGTGGAGCGGGCGCGGCTCGCCGCCGTGGAGGCGCTGCGGCTGCTCGAGTGGGAGGACCAGCTTGGGCGGTTCCGCGCTGGCGACGGCCACCCTGGCCGCCGTAGCCAGAGCGTCGTCAAGCACGTCATCTGGGTCAATAGAGAGAAGGCGTGGCGTGTTGAGTACAGGATATTGCACGGCCCCGACAGAGGTCGCAAGAAGACGCCCCCTTTCCGCCCGAAGGACGAGTCGCCGGAGGAAGTGGAGAGGGCGCCGCTCGCCGCCGTCGAGGCGCTGCGGCGGCTCGAGTGGGAGGACCAGCTCGGGCGGGTCCGCGATGGCGATGGCCACTTTGGCCGCCGTGACCAGAGCGGTTTCGAGCACGTCAGCTGGCTCAATTGAGAGAAGGCGCGGTGTGTTCTTTACAGGATGAGGAACGGCCCCGACAGAGGTCGCGAGAAGACGCCCTCTTTCCGCCCGATGGACGAGGCGCCTGAGGAAGTGGAGCGGGCGCGGTTCGCCGCCGTCGAGGCGCTGCGGCGGCTCGAGTGGGAGGACCAACCCGGGCGGTTCCGCGCTTGCGACGGCCCGTGGCCAGAGCCGCGTCAAGCACGTCATCTGGGCCAGTCGAAAAAAGGCGTGGCGTGTTGAATACAGGAGAAGGCACGCCCCCTACAGAGGTCGCAAGATGACGCCCCATTTCCGCCCGATCGACGAGTCGCAGGAGGATGTGGATTGGGAGCCGCTCGCCGCCGTCGAGGCGCTGCGGCGACTCGAGCGGGAGGACCAGCTCGGGCGGGTCCGCGGTGGCGATGGCCACCGTGGCCGCCGTGGCCAGAGCGGTGCCGAGCACGTCAGCTGGCTCAATTGAGAGAAGGCGCGGTGCGTTGAGTACAGGGTAAGGCACGGCCCCGACAGAGGTGCCAGGAAGCAGCTCTCTTTCCGCCCGAAGGACGAGTTGCCGGAGGAAGTGGGGCGGGCGCGGCTCGCCGCCGTCGAGGCGCTGCGGCGGCTCGAGTGGGGGGGCCAGATCGGGCGGCCCCGCGCTGGCGACGGCCACCTGTCCGCCGTGGCCAGAGCGGTGTCGAGCACGTCATCTGGGTCAGTAGAGAGAGAAGGCGCGGTGTGTTCTTTACAGGATAAGGAACGGCCCCGACAGAGGTCGCGAGAAGACGCCCTCTTTCCGCCCGAAGGACGAGTCGCCGGAGGAAGTGGAGAGGGCGCGGCCCTCCGCCGCCCATGCGATGCGGCGGCTCGAGTGGGGGGGCCAGCTCGGGCGGGTCCGCGCTGGCGACGGCCACCGTGGCCGCCGTGGCCAGAGCGGCGTCGAGCACGTCAGCTGGCTTTATGGAGAGAAGGCGCGGTGCATTATTTAAGGGATAAGGAACGGCCCCGAAAGAAGTCGCGAGAGTACGCCCCATTTCCGCCCGAAAAACGAGTCGCCGGAGGAAGTGGAGCGGGCGCGGCTCGCCGCCGTCGGGGCGCTGCGGCGGCTCGAGCGGGGGGGCCAGCCCGGGCGGCTCCGCGCCGGCGGCGGCCGCCGTGGCCAGAGCGGCGTCAGGTACGTCATCTGGGTAGATAGAGAGAAGGCGCGGCGCGTGGAGTACAGGACCAGGAACGGCCCCGACAGAGGTCGCAAGAAGACGCCCCCTTTCCGCCCGAAGGTCGAGTCGCCGGAGGAACTGGCGCGGGCGCGGCTCGCCGCCGTCGAGGCGCTGCGGCTCGATTGGGGGGGGGCCAGCTCGGGCGGCCCCACGCTGGCGACGGCCGCCCTGGCCGCCGTGGCCAGAGCGACGTTGAGCGCGTCATCTGGGTCAATGGAGAGATGGCGTGGCGCTGTGAGTAGTACAGGATAATGCACTGCCCCGACAGAGGTCGCAAGAAGACGCCCCCTTTCCGCCCGAAGGGCGAGTCGCTGGGGGAAGCGGAGCGGGCGCGGCCCCCCGCCGTCGAGGCGCTGCGGAGGCTCGAGTGGGAGGACTAGCCCGGGCGGCCCCGCGCTGGCGACGGCCGCCGTGGCCGCCGTGGCCACGCGGCGTCAAGCACGTCATCTGGGTCAATGGAGAGAAGGCGCGGCGCGTTGAGTACAGGGCAAGGCACGGCCCCGAAAGAGGTCGCAAGAAGGCGCCCCCTTTCCGCCCGAAGGACGAGTCGCCGGAGGAAGTGGGGCGGGCGCGGCTCGCCGCCGTCGAGGCGCTGCGGCGGCCCAAGTGGGAGGGCCAGCTCGAACGGCCCCGACAGAGGTCGCAGGAAGACGCCCTCTCCGCCCGAAGGACGCGTCGCCGGAGGAAGAAGGGCGGGCGCGGCTCGCCGCCGTAGAGGCGCTGCGTCGGTTCGAGTGGGAGGGCCAGCCCGGGCGGCTCCGCGCTGGCGACGGCCACCGTTGCCAGGGCCGCGTCAAGCACGTCATTTGGGTCATTAGAAAGAAGGCGCGGCGTGTCGAGTACAAGATAAGGCACGGTCCCGACATAGGTCGCAAGAAGACGCCCTTTTTCCGCCCGAAGGACGAGTCGCCGGAGGAACTGGGGCGGGCGCGGGTCGCCGCCGTCGAGGCGCTGCGGCGGCTCGAGCGGGGGGGCCAGCTCGGGCGGGCCCGCGCTGGCGATTGCCGCCGTGGCCGCCGTGGCCAGAGCGGCGTCAAGCACATCAGCTGGCTCAGACAGAGAGAAGGCGCAGTGTGTTCTTTACAGGATATGGAACGGTCCCAACAGAGGTGCCAGGAAGCAGCTCTCTTTCCGCCCGAAGGACGAGTCGCCGGAGGAAGCGGGGCGGGCGCGGCTCGCCGCCGTCGAGGCGGCGCGGCGGCTCGAGTGGGAGGACCAGCCGGGGCGGCTCCGCGCAGGCGACGGCCACCCTGGCCGCCGCGGCCAGAGCGGCGTCGAGCACGTCAGCTGGCTCAATAGCGAGAAGGCGCGGCGCGTTGAGTGCAGGGGAGAGCACGGCCCCGACAGAGGTCGCGAGAAGACGCCCTCCTTCCGCCCGAAGGACGAGTCACAGGAGGAAGTGGAGCGGGCGCGGCTCGCCGCCGTCGAGGCGCTGCGGCGGCTCGAGCGGGGGGGCCAGCCCGGGCGGCTCCGCGCTGGCGGCGGCCGCCGTGGCCAGAGCGGCGTCAGGCACGCCAGCTGGGTCAATGGAGAGAAGGCGCGGTGCGTTGGGTGCAGGATAGGGCACGGCCCCGACAGAGGTCGCAAGAAGACGCCCTCTTTCCGCCCGAAGGGAGAGTCGCCGGAGGAAGCGGAGCGGGCGCGGCTCGCCGCCGTCGAGGCGCTGCGGCGGCTCGAGCGGGGGGGCCAGCTCGGGCGGCCCCGCGCTGGCGACGGCCACCCTGGCCGCCGTGGCCAGAGCGGCGTCGAGCGCGTCCGTTGGGTCAGTAGAGAGAAGGCGCGGCGCGCTGAGTACAGGGCAAGGCACGGCCCCGACAGAGGTCGCAAGAAGACGCCCCCTTTCCGCCCGAAGGACGAGTCGCCGGAGGAAGTGGAGAGGGCGCCGCTCGCCGCCGTCGAGGTGCTGCGGCGGCTCGAGCGGGGGGGCCAGCTCGGGCGGCCCCGCGCTGGCGACGGCCGCCCTGGCCGCCGTGGCCAGAGCGGCGTCGAGCACGTCATCTCGGTCAATAGCGAGAAGGCGCGGCGTGTTGAGTACAGGATAAGGCACGGCCCCGACAGAGGTCGCGAGGAGACGCCCTCTTTCCGCCCGAAGGACGAGTCGCATGAGGAAGCGGAGCGGGCGCGGCTCGCCGCCGTCGAGGCGCTGCGGCGGCTCGAGTGGGAGGACCAGCCCGAGCGGCTCCGCGCTGGCGGCGGCCACCGCGGCCAGAGCGGTGTCAATCACGTCAGCTGGGTCAACGGAGAGAAGGCGCGGCGCGTTGAGTACAGGATAAGGCACGGCCCCGACAGAGGTCACGAGAAGGCGCTCTCTTCCCGCCCGAAGGACGTGTCGCCGGAGGAAGTGGGGCGGGCGGGTCTCGCCGCCGTCGAGGCGCTCCGGCGGCTCCAGGAGGTGGGCGGCGCGCGCGGGCCGAGCAGCTCGCGCGCGCCCCGCGCCGAGGAGGAGGAGCAGTTCGGGCGCGCCCGCTGCGCCCGCCGAGGAGGAGGGGGAGCGGCTGTCCGCCTTCCGCAGGCGCTACCCCGTCGGCGACGGCGCCGTCGGGCTCTTGGCGAGGCAGCCGGCCGAGGTGCAGTCCGCGGCGCTTTCGAGTTCCTGCCCGCCGAGGGAGGGCCCGTCCGACTTCGGCGCTGCTGGGCAGCGCCCTCCAGACCATCGGAAAACGCTAGGGCTTCTGAGAGGCGCCGCCGCCGCCTGAGAAGGCCTGCGCCCTCTCACTTCCCCCCCTGGGCTGGCCGCCGAGCCCGATTCCCCTTCCCCGCTCCCCCGAGGCCTGGATGGGCAGGGCGCATTTCCTGCGCGCGGCATTGGTTAGACATCGCGGAAGCAGGCCCAGATTTCGAAAACGATAGCTGTCTTGATCGCATGTTCGGTTGTGTCACATTCCATACCGCATTCCATTCCCATGAGACTCGGATTCGGCGTGGGTGGAATTCTAAAATCACATCAGTCTTAACAGAGTTTGTGCCAGATCGGAGAGGACTCCTGTTGGATTTGGACAGGGCCATCTCAGGAAACCATTCGGAGTGGAGTCGCCCCGGGACCGCATTTCTGTCGAGGGCATTCTAATAAGACCCAACATGAAAACAAAAGCGCCGATCATTTATCAGGATTAACATGAAGGCTGATTATCTCTGCCATTTCCTCACATGTGCGAGAGAGAGCGAAGGGGAGACAGAGAGAGAGAGAGAGGGAGAGACCAACACTGACAACGCGCGTTTGCCTGTGACTAATGCATGCATATATGGACACATCATCTATATACGGGAGAGAAAGAGAGAAAGAGAGAGAGAGAGAGAGGGAGAGAGAAAGAGAGAGAGAGAGAGAACACGCAAATGCTAGCCTGGCGAAGGACCCAACCATATGCAGTTGCGAATCCCACAGCAACGCACATCGCCCGCGGTCCCTATGGGGCCACGAACCGCGCGAGGGGCGCGCCGACATGCGCGGCGGGGCACACGACGCAAGCGAAGACGATAGCTCTGCGTGCGAGAGACTGAGGGCGAGTGAGTCTGGTCGTGGATGAGTTTGCGCGCGCGTGAGTTTACGCGTATAAATGTCGACGCCCACGTCGGCGCGCCTCTCATGAGGATCGCGCCCGCTTCCTTCCCGTTCTGCATTTTGCTTTTTGCCCGTGCACCCCCGCGTCCACGGCTGCGGGCGCGGCGCCGCGCGGAGTCCCCGCGACGCGCGCTGGTCGCCCCTAAAGGGGTCCCGGCGTTGCGCGCGGGTCGTTCGCTGCGCGGAGCAGAGAGAGCGAGCAGGCTGGCTCCCGCCCGGGATGCGTGGCCCGAAAGCGGCCTGAACACGTCGAGTACGAAAAGAAATGAACATCGAAAGCCGCCGCCATGCGAACTCCGCCACTGCGCCGCCATGCGAGTTCCGCCACGGAGACCTTAGGTGGAGCTTGTCGTGGAGACACGAAGCGCTGTGCTGGGTGGTGGATGACGCATGTTGGCGGTCCCACTGGGGTCTTCGGCGGGGCCCCCTATGGGGCCACGAAGCGCTGTACTGGGTGACGGATGACGCACGCGGGCGGTCTCACTGGGACTTTCGGTGGAGCTCCCTATGGGGCCACGAAACACTGCATTGGGTGGTGGGTGACGCATGCGGGCGGTCCCACTGGGCCCTTCGGTGGAGCTCCCTATAGGGTCACGAAGTGCTGTGCTGGGTGGTGGATAACGCATGCGGGCGGTCCCTCTGGGCCCTTCGGTGGACCTCCCTATGGGGCCACGAAGTGCTGTAGTGGGTTTGGGATGATGCATGCGGGCGATGGATCTGGAGCTTTCGGTGGAGCTCCTTATGAGGCCGAGAAATGCTGTGCTGGGTGGTGGATGACGCACGCGGGCGGTCCCATTGGGTCTTCGGTGGAGTTCCCGATGGGGTTGCGAAGTGCTGTCCTGGGTGGTGGATGACGCATGCGGGCGGTCCCGCCGGGGCCTTCGGTGGAGCTCCCTATGGGGCATCGAAGCGTTGTGCTGGGTAGTGGATGGCGCGCGCGGGAGGTCCCAGTGGGGCCTTCGGTGGAGCCCTCTATGCGGCCACGAAGCGCTGTGCTGGGTGGTGGATGACGCATGCGGGCGGTGGCTCTGGACCCTTTCGGTGGACCTCCTTATGGGGCCACGAACCGTTGTATTGGATTGTGGATGACGCGCGCGGGCGGTCCCACTGGGGCCTTCGGTGGGGCTCCCAATGGGACCGCGAAACGCTGTGCTGGGTGGTGGATGACGCATGAGGGCGGTACCACTGGGGCCTTCGGTGGAGCTCCCTTTGGGGCCACGAAGCGTTGTACTGGGTGATGGATGACGCATGCGGGCGGTCCCTCTGGGGCCTTGAGTGGAGCCCCCTATGGGGCCACGAATCGTTGCACTGGGCGGTGGACGACGCATGCGGGCGGTGGCTCTGGAACTTTGAGTGGAGCTCCCGATGTGCCACCACATGTTGATTGGGTGGTGGATGACGCGCGCAGGAGGTCCCAGTGGGGCCTTCGGTGGAGCCCCCTACGGGGCCACGAACCGCTGTGTTGGGTGGTGGCTGACGACTGCGGGCTGTCCCACTGGTGCCTTCGGTGGATCTCCCTTTGGGGCCACGAACCGTTGTACTGGGTGGTGGATGACGCATGCGGGCGGTCCCACTGGGCCCTTCGGTGGAGCCCCCATATGGGCCACGAAGCGTGTGAGGGGTTTGCCGGAATGGGTGATGTTGGTACGATGATGGGTGATGGTGATGATGACGTCGATCATGCCGATAGTGATGATGGTGTTGATGGCGTTGATGATGATGGCGATGGGAGTAGGGAGGAGGGGGGGAGAAATAAGGAAAGAAGGAAGGAGGATAACGCGCGGCGGTGTCGATTCAAAACGCGGACACGACAACACAAGTTGGTTAGGAAAAAAAAACAGCTTATCCTCGCGAAGGATCCAACCATATGCAGTTGTGAGTAACGCGTTGTGGATGCAGGTTTCCTTGGCGCTCCCTATGTGGCCACAAAGCGCGTGAGGGATGTAGCGTAATGGGTGGGGGAGACGCATGCGGGCGGTGCCATTAGGGCGTTCCGTGAGATGCCCTATGCGCCACGGAGTGTTGTGCTTGGTGGGCTGCAGCATTGCGCAGCGTATGTTGCACCACCGACATTGCATCACGTATATTCTGCCGCATAGACTATCCATTAAGGCTTTTGAGGAACACCTTGTTAGGGGCCCGCGCTGGCTGACACGCAGTTTTCTATACATTAGCGAATAAATCTAGCCGCGTGGAGGTAGTGGGAGAAGCAGGAGGATGCTCCTCCTCTTTACCATACTCCACGCGTCAATCATTGCAGCCTGTGGGTTGGTAATATCACATATAGGTTGCACGGCGTTGGTATG